CCTTAAAAAATTTTTGGTTGTTGGGTTTTTTTTTTTTTTTTTTTTTTTTTTTTTGGAGGGGCTTTATTTTCCGGGGCTCGGTCTCAGGAAAACCAATCTTCCCATTTAGTCATGATTGTTAAGAAATGAAAGAGCTCCAAAAGCCTTTAATACAGAGTTTGATACTAACAGTGGACTGATTAATCTATAATTATATTATGTTCAGGGCTAGGCTGAAGAAGAGTTTAAAAAGCGGATGTGCACCAACAATGAGAAAGGTTCCTCCAAAAAACAAGCAAAAAAAAAAAGAAAGAAAAAAAAGAGTTTCACCTTTAACCAGTTTTGTATTACTCACGATCAGATGACTCAGAAGAGACAATATATCGACTTGAGCTGGGAAGCTGACTAAATTAAAGCCTAACTCTATTAATGCTTTAAAATGACTGAATCAAACTGTTACATGAGAGAAAGCATCTGGAAAATAAAGTTAAATCTCAAACCTGATTTTTAACTGAACCTGGCTGTGTTATAAAGCTTAAATGTTAGCTGACAGGCTATCCTAAAAAAAGAAACAAAAACAAAAAAAAGTTAAAATAAGTAAATAAATTGAACTGGGGGTATTGTTATATCCGTTCCAGCGTTAGTGTGGAACATGTCTTAATACAGGAAACCAAGAATTGTAGCCTAGAGAGAAAAACAGTCTTTGTCATATTTTCTCAGATGTATTAAGAATGATGAAATCTATTTGAAACACCTGGAATATTTAAACTTATAAAAATAGATTTCAGAAGCTAATTCTGTTCTGAAAAGGCAGTTGTCAAGCAAAGCAGTCACTCCTAAGTGAAAATATTTTCTGATCTTTTCTTCACGATTGATTTGAACCGTCACGCTAAAAGGATGGAAAGTACTGCAGTTCACCTGTATTAGAATAAATGATGAAAACTAATGTTTGAATAATTTGTCATCTGTATTTTAAAAATGTGCAGAATGATGTAGAAGAAAAAAGAAAAAAAACATATTTCAGTTTTCCTCAAAAATGTCACATCTGAAGTACCTTTTTATTGACTTTTTCCTGAACTCTTCCAGAAACATCACTTCTGGTGGAGAATTTAAAAAATGGCAAAATGCTCAATGAAATTAAATAAATGTGTGCTCTTCTGCTGATTTTTCATACACTATATATATATATATATATATATATATATATATATATATATATATATATATATATATATATATATATATATATATATATATATATATATATACTGACATATACACATATGTCAGCAGAGAGAACATTCTCAGTTGAAACAGCAAGACTTGTTGGATTCACAACTCCCTCCAACATTCCATTATTTCCTCAGGATTGATAAACAAATCTTTAGGAAAATGAGTATAAAGAGGGGGCGAAAAAATATGCAATTGTCGTGTTTTATTTGATTATGTGTGAGCCATGATCAAACAGCTCAATTGTCCTTCAATTAAAACTTAATTAAGCGATGAAAAGCATGAAACCAGCTCCCAAGCAACAGGCTGATGGGGTCGAGACCTCGGTGTGACACTGAAGCCCCTGGAGGAACGAAAGAAAGACTAAAGTCACTGATTCATCTTAAAACGGCTCCCAAACATTAGATCACGCCAATACAACTTTAAGAAGACACGTTTAATTCTTCAAATATTAAAATCGCAGTTCATTTCCCTTTTTTTTTTTTTTTTTTTGCAGCTGTCTGATGTGGGTCAAAAGCTGATTTATGAAACTAACAAGCACACAGATCACACGTTTTTTTATTTTGGGCTGCTAGATCTGAGATTAAAAAAAACAGAAAGAAAAAAAGAAAAAGTTTGCATGTGTTGCTTGATCTAGTTTGTGAGTGTCGAGCTTTGACGTGACTCTTAAAGGGAGAAGGAACCTGGCGAGGTTTGCACAGAGTGACTCTGCCCCCTGTTGGAAAAACAACCTCTCCCCTCTCATCCAAACTGCTTGATGAATGATTCAAGAAACATAATAATAATAATAATAATAATAATAATAATAATAATAATAAATGCAGTTCGTATCAATGGATGAATTTGCGCACAGACACGAATGAGCGGTAAAGTATGCCCTGCAGAAACAAACAGGACCATATAGAATCTGTAATTAACGTCTCCCTCTTAAGCACCTCATTAACTGGGCTGCGTGCAGAGCTAATTAAATCACCGCTCTGCCCAGCCCACGTATATTCTCCTTCTTATTGAATCACCCTGATGTGCAATCCGTCACATACAGCGATGAAAAGAAATAAGAAATAATGCTCCCTTTTGATGATGACCATGATGACGATGATGATGATGATTATATGACCATGCCCCCTCGACACCCGCTACCAGTTCACCTATTATTCCCGCTGAGGTCAGCATTAGGTCAGAGTCTTGCTCAAGGACACTTCAGAAGCGCGCATGGGTGCGTGCACCCTGAATGCGTCTGAGATTGATTTAAAGCAGCCAGATTATTTTTTTTCATTGTTGTTGCTGTTTGTTTGTTTATTCATTTATTGTAATGGAACATCTGCAAACAGAAAAAAAAAAAAAAGATTAACAAAGATTACGCGCGCACACGAGACACGCGCGCCTTCTCCGCCGCTGGGTGGCAGTGGTGTGGTGTCTCTGCGTGGGGAGCTCGCGTATGGAGGGAACCGTCGGAGGGGAACAAAGAAGGGAGGAGCGGGGAGGGAGAAGGGGGGCGAGGCTGTGTGTGCGTGTGTGTTCGTGTGTGCGTGGGGGAGTGTGAATGTGGGAAAGGGGAGGGTAGGGTAGGGGGGTCTTATATGGAAATGTGGATGCCTCTACGACAGCGCGCATTTAAACTCACCATGTCATGTCCAGAACCACCATCACCACCTCCATCAGCCAACCAGCAATGACCGAGAAGCAGAACATGTTAGCCCTCGGTGGTGGTTTTTACAAAACGTAACCCCATTTAGGCTTAATGAGCTAAAGTTGGTTAACCCTGCGGAGCTCAGTGTGTGTGTGTGTGTGTGTGTGTGTGTGTGTGTGTGTGTGTGTGTGTGTGTGTGTGTGTGTGTGTGTGTGTGCGCGCGCGCGTGCGACAGTAACAGCTCCTGCGGTTTAGTAAAAACAGTAAGTGTATATACTTACTCTTTTTCTGTGCCAGCCTGTCGTAGTCTAGAGAAAAATATGACCAAATTGAATCAATAGGGCTCCAGGCATGAATAAGCAGCTCATATAAATAAAAATAAATACATTTCTAAGTGAATTTATATTTCTTTATTAATTGTGTGTGATACAAACTTGAATGGATTCAGTTAGTTAGTGTGGTTAGTCATTTTCGATGCGAAATGTATGCCGGTAGGGGCAGCTTTTCTTCCCCCTGTCTGCCGGTGAAAAGCAGCTTCCAGCGGGCTGCCGCTGCCTCAGCGCCCGCACTCGTGAGCTCTGATCCCGGCCACGTTTCACTCGCCTCCCCGGCAGCTCCGCGGGTGTTTCATGAAGGACGAGCAAGCAGTACTCCGAGAGGAGAGCTGTGTAACGACTCGCGTCATAACTTTGGACAAATTACCGCAGTATTTTCTTTTCCTTCTTTTTTTATTTATTAGATTTTTTAAAAATATATATATATATAAATATATATTATTATTAGCGAAAGATGATTCACCGTGGACCCGCCATGTTTAACCCGTCGCTGACATGGGGACGGCAGGCTTGGTCAGATCAGCCGCGGTTTTTACATTTATCTCTGAACTGCGCCTCCTGAGGACATTTGTTTTTGCGGTGAACAGCATGTTAAAGTTAAAAGCTGTCAAGACAGCTTTTTACACATAGTAAAATCTACGGCATTTACCAGCCTCCTGGTGTTTGCTGAGCATAGTTGCTGCTGGTGTAGAAGTTCTGTTTTAAACACCCAATCATATGAAGTGGCTTAGTCTGAATAGTTTATTTGAAGCTCTACCTAACCACTCATTTTTGTCAGTAATTAAACTTACATCATGCAGAAGTAAGGGCGTGTGGATCAAAGAGAGCTAAGTGAGTAATTTGAGTTTGTGGTTAGAAAGGTTATAGCCTCAGATAATATGTCAGAGGGTTCCCCACTTTATATGGTCCCCAGCTCCCACAGGTTTGCAATAGTTGTGGGTTTGAGGCTCAATACAGCCAAGATGAACACTTTGGTTGCAGCTTCAACAAGTTCACACTCTGTTCTTGTTTTTAATCCTCTTGGGATGTGATGATCGTTAGAGGTTAGACATTTTGAAATAATTTAAAGGGTGAGGAGTCATTCGGTTTGGAAAAACACCTGAGGGCCGTTGCTATGAAACCGGCCTGGGAGAATCATGTGCAAAAATTTGCACCAAATGTTTTGCGAAGATGTGAATCAGACGAGAAACATTTTTTTCCTTTCATGCGATCAGTCTGAACATTGTAAACGGCATGCAAATTGCTGACCTTTGATGTTTAGGGATGGGTGACAGTAGGGTTATTGTTTTTGGTTTTAGCTTTGTGAATAAAATTGATGGATAGATTAATTTGATTCCTTTTGGAGTGACAGCAATTAGATTTTTACAGGCACCAAAATGGGTGGCACTAAAACCCAAAATGCCATATCAGAAATTTTGTTTGGTGTTTTATTATCCCACTGTGTTAAATAGGGAATCATTGATGGGTTTAAAAGTGTCATGCCATGAAGTAAGCGCGACACTCACCACTGCTGTCAATAAATATAGGCTTTAGCTTCTTTATTATTGAACCCTCCTTTAGGTTTGCACAGATTTGGCTCTGAACATACTCTAAAACTGCCTCTGGAAGCAATACTTTTATGTGTAATTTCAGCCCAGAGTCGTGTCACTTCACATTTTTCACTTTTAGTTTCAAAGACCTCCTGGGACAGCGGTGGTAATTGTATCAAGATGTTTGTGCATTGTTACAGAATTTATATAAATCAATAAAGACACATTATGCAATAGTTTGCTGAAAGAGAATCATTAAAGAAATAAAGAAGGACATTGGTTTTGTGTGATTTGCCAAGGTTTTTACACGCACACGCACACACGCACGCACGCACGCACGCACGCACGCACGCACACAACACAGAAGGTTAGTCCATCAGATAGTCAGAGGAAAGGGGTGTCCTCTACAGCCCAAATTAAAATGCTCTCCAATCAGGCAGGGCAAAATACGGCCCTGGGGCTTTTCGGCTTCCTAACATAGGGGGGTCTTATCAGAGGATCAATTTTCATGCAAGTTCCCTCCATTGAAAGGCTTTCTATTAAGACCAGCCTAACACAGCTTCTTGACCTCCTTTAGCTTGACAAGTAGAACTTTTAAGGAAATTAAATTATTAAAGCTACAGCCAACTTCAGAAACGACACCACGCATTCTTACGACGGTTTACGGTGGCTTCCAGCATTACAGCCATATTTCTACAACAGTTAGTGATACAGTGTCTACAGAATGGTATCATTTTGAAGGAAAGTGTAAAATGTTACGACAACAATCGGTATCAAATGGGTTTCTGAGAATTTTTTTTTTTTTCTTATCAGGAGGAACAGTGACCGGCAGCAGAAAATGACAACAGAATGTGGGATCCTTTAAAGCTTTCGAGCATCTTCATAGAAACATAAATCTTTATCCAGCACATTGTTGTTTGTTCATTTATGGGGCTTATATCATTCCCAAAATATCTGAAATTAAAACATACCAAATTATTATGAGCTAACAAAAAAAGCAGGGCCCATTAGCTTAGAGTGGTCTAATCCACCTCTGTGATCTATGTGGCAGAAGAATTGATGGTGGTACCAAAATAGACACATAAATAAAAATTCAGGTAATATGAAATGATTTAAAATCCATGTCTGCAGTATTATGCATCATAAGGAGCACACACCAGTAAAACACATTATTAGTAAAATTATTAGAATGATTTAAATAGTTTTTATTTCAATGGCTTGTCAATATGTCAGAGCAAATACATTTTTAACAGCTAATAAAGCGTAAATTATCGCCAAAGCATTTTAAAATGTACATTTTCAACTAAATCGACTAACTTTTAATCATCAATATGACTTTTGCCCATTTGGTTT